CCGCACCATTACCCTGACTCAGTCACACATGGTGCAGCAGGTCCTTCAGCGCTTCGGCTTCACGTACTCCTCGCCTCAGGCCACTCCTCTGCCTACTCGCCACTCACTCTCAGCTCTGCCTTCGGATGAGTCCGTAGAGTCGAGTGGTCCGTATGCAGAGCTTGTTGGCTGCCTCATGTACCTGATGACCTGCACACGACCTGACCTTGCATACCCTCTGAGCATTCTTGCACGCTATGTTGCTCCTGGGAGACACAGACCGGAGCACATGGCTGCAGCGAAGAGGGTATTGCGCTACCTGTGCAGTACGTCGGGCATGGGGCTAGTGCTTGGAGGGCAGAGTTTAGTGGTCCTTACCGGCCACGCGGACGCTTCTTGGGCTGACGACCAAGCTACGCAGCGGTCGTCACAGGGTTACACCTTCAGCCTTGGTTCCGGCTCTGTCTCGTGGCGGTCTACTCGCTCGTCTTCGGTTCTCGGCTCCAGTTGTGAGGCTGAGATCTACGCCGGGGCCATGGCTGCTCAGGAGCTTCGCTGGCTCACCTACCTGCTGACTGACCTTGGAGAGCCGCCTCGTTCTCCTCCAGTGCTGTACGTAGACAACAAGGCCATGCTGGCCTTGTGTCGAGAGCAGCGCTTGGAGCACAGAACGAAGCACATTGCTCTCCACTACTTCCTTGCTCGTGAGCTGCAGCAGCGTGGTCAGTTGCGACTTGCGTACGTGGCCTCTGAGGTCAACACTGCTGATGTGTTCACCAAGGCACTCGCGCCTTGTGACCATCAGCGCTTTTGCACCCAGCTGGGTCTTGTACCTGTCTTGCCTCACTTGCTCTCCTCTTGACTTCACTTGTACTGTGACATATATATATACCTGCTCTTGTTTGTCTAGTTTTATATATATGTCTGTACTCCTGCATGTGAACTGGCCTCTGGCCCTGCTCTTGTGCTCGGATTGTGTGGTGACTTTGTGATCCACCCTGAGCTTGCTTTGCTTTGCTTTGCTTGACTGGTCTTGTGACCCCTTGTTCTCCCCCACTTTGCCTATGGGGGTGTGTCAGATTATCATAGTTGATGCATGTTTGTAGGCTATAGTGGGGTAGCACATATGGGGTACAACTTTCTAGGGTTGTATTTGTACCCAACCCTGACTTAGTCATTCCCATTCCTGTTCACTTGTTTCACACTATAAGTATCTGGGGGATGATAATGGGTTGTAGAATACGATTCTTAGGGAGGCGGAGAAATCGATGGCCGCGGTGCGAGAAGAGATGAGCAAACGAGACATACCTGGGGAATGGGTAACGGTAGATGGTCGGTGGTCACATGTCCGAGAGGGCGAGTGGTGTACCGTGTCATTCATGGATGCTGTTACGCGGAAGATATTGTACTGTGTGACAACAAGAGAAAAGGGGTGGATGATACATCATCTGTGTGATTGGAGCGTGTTGCGTTCGACAAAGGAGTTGATGAGCTGGCGCTGTTGGGATTTGATGTGGAAGGAATCATTTCAGACCAAGGGACGACATTCAGAGGTGCTGGGACAGAGCGGAAATTGAACCATCAGGTGGATTGGTGGCACGTGAAGAAAACGCTCACAAGCTCTTCTGCAAAGAGCTTCAGGATGCCGTGCGAGTGCCGGTAGCCGTGGACAAGGCAAGCTGTATTGAGGAGCTGTGGTTGGCTTCGGTGGAAGGGCTGCGGCAATGGTTGCGAAAACGGGGTTTAGAGAAAGAGGCGAAGGCATCACTCAAATCGGCTCTTGTGCAATCGGTCTGCACAGCCATGGGCACCTTTTACGTGCACATTACACCCGATGAAGCAAAATGGAAGTTTCAGGAGCTGAGAAAGGTGCAACGAGTGGGGGGGGAACAGGGGGTTGTAGAGGTCCCTGTGAATTATGCTGAGGTGCGATCTGGTCCAACAGGAGATAGGCGGACCACTACAATCGATGAAGCGGTTGACGAAGCGGAAATGGGCAACACACAAGTTGACGTGCAATGGCCGGATGTGGAGCTTTGGAGTTACGATTTGCATCCAGTGCACGGCGCGCGACCCTCGTTTGTGGTAAGTGCATTCATCGTGCATGCACATGCAGGTGCAGGCGATGTCTCACGGTCAATCGGTGGGACGACTCCTTGGGCCAACACCGACGATGGCATTGGTAAGAATGCTCACAAAAGTGAAATTTTAACTACTCATGCAGATTGGTTAATCATTCATGTTCCCCTCCAATATTGTCGTTCACCAGGAGACGATGGCATGGGTGGTTCGGACCCACCCGTGACTAACCCTGCAAGCGACAACGTGGATGCATTGCACGATGGTGATGCAGTAGAAAGCAGAATCGGACAGGCTTTGCCTCGGTGGGTTGGGCGCCGAAAACGAAAACGGGGGGACGATGAGGTACACGCAGGCGATGAAGAGAGTACAGTGGCGCAGCGCTTCGGATCGCATTTTTTCCATGTGATGATGCACGCCGGGAGGATGAAGGAAGCGGGCACCCCTATGACTCCTGATGATGTGGCGAGGGAGATTGGGACGGCCCCAAACCATTGGGCGGGTGACCATTCAGGGTGTGGAAAGTTTGGTGGTGTCCCGCCAAGGTGTGTTATTGAGAACAAGGGGAGAGAATGTGCTCTTTACGTGCCTGGGTCAGAAATGCACAAGGCGGTGCGGGCTTGGTTCGAGAAACGGTTGTCGCCGAAAAAGGTGAAATCCTTTGTTCACGGAGCCAACAGCTCAGTCAATGAGTCATTCCATTCTCTGATCCTCAAATACGCCCCTAAGCGTATTCGGTTCCAGGATAGTCTTGTGCCACGGGTGGCTCTCACTGTCTTGCACTGGAATAACTGGATGGATAGATTGGTCACTTCCTATCACACACGGGTACGCCAAGTGACGCGGGTGCGTCGGGGCAACAAGGATTGAACACTAGGACCGATGGATTGGTCGTGGGTTGATCGGATCATGGCGGACTGGCAACGATCGTTAGGGGATGGTGTCGACGACGATATTGTTGAAGATGCATCTAGGAGCCAAGACACGGAACAGCAGTCCGCTGACATATTTGATTGTGGGGGCCACCCATCTGTACAGCAGCCCGCTACACCTGTGCGACGTAGTGGGAGGGGTCGTGGTCGGTCATCGATGCATGGTGCTGCGAAGCGCAGTCTTCTAGGTGAGACTAGTTGCATATTTGCGACTTATCACACCCTATCTCATCATTTTGACCAACAATTCCTGTTTGTGCTACTGTTACAGGTGACATCACCAACTATCCTCGGTAAATGTCCACGACACACCTATGGGATGCAAAAAGGTCCAACATTATCATTTTGGCTGCCACACCGCATCGCTTCCGGCATCAACAACGCCCATGTGCTCGCCCCTGGTAATAAGGAACCCTACCATTGTAATGCTTTATCCTCAAAGGTGAACACTAGTGGCCTTCAAATCTATCCCCCCCTCTCCTCTCCACGCTTCATTGTCTCCCTCATGCCCTTCCCCTTGACAAACAGACTTCTCTTGTTTTATCTCCCCATCCCCCATCCCTGCAATACATCCCATGTCAGCTCCTATAATTGGTCCCGCCAATGCAGGGAGTGCCGCTGCTGCCGTACTCGCAGGAGGCAAGGGAGGTGGCAGGGCGGCTTTTCCTGGTGGAAGCCTCGGCCCGCCGGGACGTCTGCCGCCTAGTGGCAAATGACACCTGGTACAGTGCAGGTGACTCTGAAATGTTGCAGTTGACCTTTTGGTGCTTATGGCATCTACACTAGTGCATGATATTCCAAGCAACTACCCCATTCTCTCCACTTCCCTCTCCTCTCTCCCTGCTCCACCGACAACTCCCCCTATCCTTACCATGATACCTAGTAGAAGCCCTCTCAAAGACAATTCCCTTGCCTCTTTCCCACCTCCCTCTCTCCCTTCTTTTCCCCCCTTCCCCACCAATCCCCACTCCCCCACGTTCTGGCAGCCGTTGGACGCAATAAGCAGTGAGAGCCAGCTTGTCAATCCTCTGCCCCTCCTCCCGGTTCTCGGCTCCCTTGACCATCTTCGTCTCCTCTGCCCCCCACCCCACTCCCCCCACAAACCCCCCCCCTCCCCCCTCCGCAAGTCAGCCATTGCAAAGCTCAGAAAGGAGACCCCTTTGAAATTTCCCCTCTACCCCTCCTTACATTTCACCGACGCCGCCACCCCCTGCCAATCCTCTCTGCTGGGTGTACCTGGACATTTTCAGCTCCACCGTCCCACGTCGCTCCGCTTGCATCTCACAATATATTGGTGGAATGGCTCCGCGTTTATAGACAACAGCAAGTTGTTCCTCTAAGGGGGTGTCATGCTTGGCGAACTTACAGGTCATTCGTAGCGGTTGACTACGATGCTGTGAGTTTTATATTGGCAAGTGTGCTTCACCGACATGTAGTGCTATTAGCCGCCTGAACCGTGATTCATGAGCTGTATACTCACCATGTATGATACCCCTTTACACAATTACCGTACAAATGTTGGATACTAAGCTTGGGGTTGGCAATGTTCCCTATGTTAGGTTGGGGATAATCTTACACAGCTGCATACAAGAACATTTCTTCATCTTGTATTATGCGTAGGAGCTTGGTTCAACACTGAGATATGGCATACTGGTACAAGGATCATACATTGTACATAGTATCATCGGTGGTAAAGCCCATGCGCGCTATAAACCTCCTGCACAAAGCAGGGCACGACCAGCCAGTCAATTCAAACATCCAGCTCACACTGTCTTGTGGAGGTACTTGGGGCAGCAACCATAGGCCTCCGCCAGCTCGCAGCGTGCCTTGCCCATGCTGGCAGGCTACAGACAGCCATGATCACAGCTCGCAACCAGTGCAATATGCGGCACACAGCGACATGTCGTGCACAGTAGCCTGACTTGTTGGGGGCCAGATGTTACAGCTCCCAAGCTCTCCTTACACGCAGGGGCGCCTTTCCAGCTAGTGCAGGGCCTTATAGGACGCTGGTCAGCAGAGGGTGTGGGGCAAGGTTTGTTGCTGAAGGCAGTCTTGAGAGGAGGCTGATAATGCTCCTGCACCGCGGCGTGGCTGATCCATTCGTAGAGGAAGGGGATGGGGGGGAAGTAGGGAAGGGGATGGGGGGGAAGTAGGGAAGGGGATGGGGGGAGGGAAGGGGATGGGGGGGAAGTAGGGAAGGGGATGAGGGGGGAGTAGGGAAGGGGATGAGGGGAGACAGCGAAAGAGGTTCGTGATACTGCTCATGCACCGCGGCGTGGCTGATCCAGTCGTAGATCTGCTTTTGTGCATGCGTGGGGGTGGGGAGCGGGGCGAGGGAGAAGAAGGGAGTGAGTGGAGAGCAAGGTATGAGCATGGCACGAAGGACAGTGCACAGGCGTGGGATGGGTTGTATTGAAGGATGAGGACATCACCTGGAGATAGTGCATAGGGTATGGGGTAAAGCAAGGGTGGGGATGGGGGGAAGAGGAGAACAGGATGGGGGAAAGCAGGGAATGGGATGGGGGGAAGCAGGGAAGGGGATGGGGGGAAGCATATGTGGGGATGGGGGAAAGCATGGAAGGGGATGGAGGGGGAGCAGGGAAGGGGATGGGGGGAAGCAGGGAAGGGGATAGGGGTGAGCAGGGAAGGGGATGGGGGGGAGCAGGGATTGGGACATGGGAAAGCAGGGAAGGGGAGGGGGGGAAGCAGAGAAGGCGGTGGGGGGAAGCAGGGAAGGGGATTGGGGGAAGCAGGGAAGGGGATGGGGGGAAGCAGGGAAGGGGAGGGGGGTGAGCAGGGAAGGTGATGGGGGGGAGCAGGGAAGGGGAGGAGGGGAAGCAGGGAAGGGGATTGGGGGAAGCAGGGAAGGGGATTGGGGGAAGCAGGGAAGGGGAGGGGGGGAAGCAGGCAAGGGGATGGGGGGAAGCAGGGAATGGGACATGGGGAAGCAGGGTATGGGATGGGGGGAAGCAGGGAAGGGGACATGGGGAAGCAGGGAAGGGGATGGGGGAAAGCAGGGAAGGGGAGGGGGGGAAGCAGGGAAGGGGATGGGGGGAAGCAACCAAGGGGATGGGGGGAAGCAGGGAAGGGGATGGGGGAAAGCAGGGAAGGGGACATGGGGAAGCAGGGAAGGGGATGGGGGAAAGCAGGGAAGGGGACGGGGGAAAGCAGGGAAGGGCCGCGAGCTTTAATACATCTAGCGAGCTAGCCGAGCAAACTAAAACATATGTGATCAGTTTTACCTACAGAATAGAGGAACTTTTGAGGTGAGCTTAACTAGCAAAACAAAAGACACAAATAGCTGTACAGTATTCTCACTAAATTTTGAAATCTCTGTATTACGACAAGGCACTCTGAGCACATGCTCTCAAAACCAGAACTCGGCTTTGTTAAACCGTATTCTCCCGGACAAAACACTCTAGGGTATAGCTAAAAATACAGGGAAAAAATGTGGGGGGGGGGGTCTCCTCATAGGAAAATTTTACAAAATACCCGGGTCTTTACATATGGCATATTTTTGTGTGAGAGTTTTTTTTTAAAGACAACGTGGGTTATTTGAGAAAAGCCCTTAGGATCTTTGCAGGGCTAAACTCTGGGTAAGAACAGTGTAATAGCGGAAGCGTTTAATAATAAGTTCTTGAACCACCTTGCGCTGGTATGTGAGGGCAAAGTAGATTGATCAATCAAAGAGATACTAGGCTTTGATAAGAGTACACGGAAAGATATACAACTAACAACAGTTTTACTGTTGCTGTTGCGGTTCGATACATTGACGACTCGAGCAAGTGCTCAATAACGAGTCAGTTATTTGTCCTTGCTGTCGCGTTGTACTTGTCAGGTCAAAGGTTGCTGACCTTTGACTTTCGCGTAACCTCCAGCGGTTGCTTTTCTTCTCAACCTCCAAGTGTTGACTCGCCGATGCTTCGCTGTACTTCGCCTCGTTGTGAAAGTTTAGAAGAAAGAAGAGGGCTGCACTAGCAAGAATGGGGATACAAATAGGAAACCCTAGAAGGGTTGTACTCGCTATAGAGCACCCCACTACAGGCTAGAGCATAAGATAACATTCTGACACACCCCCATAGTCAAAGTGGGGTGTAATCAGCAGAGCAAGCAAAGTAGTACAAGCTCAGGGTGGATCACAATGTCACCACACATTCTGAGCACAAGTACAAGAATCAACAGTTTAAAAGTTCACAATTATGAGCAAAGCTAGAGCTAATCACAGCGGACAAGTGAGGAGGAGGAGGAGCTGTGGGGGAGAGAAGATGGGAGGCGACTGCTGACGCTGCAGACAAATAGACGAGCTGCTGGCTCAGTGGCTATCGGAACAGCGCTACGGACTACTGGAGTAACTGGCCCCGCGGCTAATAGTAGCGGCAGACGAGCAACGGACCCACGTGCGACTGGCGACTACCGGAGATTGTAGCCTCCGGACTGCTGCTGCTGCTGACGATAAGACTGCTGCCTCCACTCAACCTCCCCCAACTGTCCCACACTCTCGGCACACGCCCACTGCTCAAACCCTAGCTCCACTCCCACGCACCCCCCTTGAACCCTAAACCCTAGTCTCCCACTCATCCACCCCCCTCAGCGACAGCTGCAGCAATGGGAGACGGAGGAGGAGGAGGAGCAAAGGGAGGAATGCACAACTGCCACCCCCATACTCGCCACCCCCTACTCGCCACCCCCCAAACCCTAACACTGGCAGGGCGGGATGGCGGGTAGGGAGGTTACGGGGGAGGGGGGGGGGGGGGGGGGACTGACGCGCGGCCTCCCAGGGCGCCAAAACAGGCGGCAGAAGGGGCGGCGCTCGCCCCCCTCCCCCAGGGAGCGGCCCCCGAGGGAGCCGCGACGGGCGACGGGAAAAAGGGGTGGGGGGGGGGGGGGGGGGCGGTGCACGTGCCCTCGGTGCGCCGCGACGGGCGACGCAGTATGGCCGAGGCGAGGCTGGTCCTGGCGCAGCCCATACGGGCCGCGCGCTGCCTGTAAGGGCGGCGCGTAGGCCACGACGGGCGACAGGGGGCGACGCGCGGGTCCCCGTCGCCCGTCGCGACGCCTCTCGAGGGCGACGCGCCGAGGGACGGGGCAGAAGCCCGCCGCGCGCCTCAGGGCGCACAGCGGGCAGAGAACTGCCGTGCGCCACGGGGCGCACGGCGGGAAGAAAAACTGCCGCACGCCACGGGGCGTGCGGCACAGAGAGTAGTAATGGCAGTTGCAGTGGAAGCAACGAGGTGGTAAGCCCACCCGCAGGATTGATCCAAGGGGATCGACTTGCTCTGATAGCATGTGAAAGTTTAGAAGAAAGAAGAGAGCAGTTTCGACAATGGCTGGACCTGAGGAAAGGGGTGGCAGAGGTGCTGGTGGCAGAGGAGAAGCCCAAGCTCAAGGCCAACCCCGTGATTCAGCCTTGGCGCCTGTGCAATCAAGTGTTGGCCCATCTAGGGATGAGCCTAGAGTGTTTGGCCTTGACAAGTTCAATGGTGACAACTTTGCTGAGTGGTCCTTCAGAATGGAGAACATATTTGACCACTATGACCTGCTGGAGGTGATGGAAGGAACGGAGAAGCGTCCCGAGAACGACCCGGAGAAGAGCCCGTGGGTGCGGAAGAGCGCACAAGGCTACCTCCTACTTGGGCAAGCGTTGGGGAGCAGCCAAATCCGTCACATCAAGCCTTTCCAGCGTGAACCAGAGAAGGGACCAAAAGCATGGGCTGCTCTCAAGGGTGTACACGCTCCTGCAACAGCGGCGGTAGCTGTGGTGTTGGAACGGCAAATGACGACGTTACGAATTGAAGAGGATGAAGCGGTAGAAGAAGGGGTGCAGAAATTCTTCGACTTGTTGACGCGGCTTGAGGGAGCTGATTTGAACTATAGTGAGCTCCAAAAGAAGACCAAGTTGCTGGCCCTACTCCCCGAATCATGGTCCTCGCTCATCATCAACCTCAATCGCGACTTGCCCCGCCTCTCGCTCGAAGACGTGAAGCGGGCTATCCTTCAAGAGGATTTCCGCCGTCGTGAGTTGGCGAGTGCGGATGGCGCTGGGGCAGCGAGCATCGGCCGTGGATATGGTCGAGGAAGAGGCAGAGGAAAAGGGGGAGGAAGGTTTGGTGGCAGCAACTTCGGCGGAGGCCGCGGGAGTGGCGGTTACGGCAGCAATGACAAGAGCTACGGACGCGGTCGCGGCCGATTCGACGGCGAGTGTCACTATTGCCACAAGAGCGGACACATGTGGCGCGACTGCTACAAACTCCCTGATGGTTGGACCCCTGCTCAAGGCCAAGAGGGTAGAGGAGCAGGAGGAGGGAGAGGAAGAGGCCGTGGAGGCCGTGGCGGTCGCGGTGGCGGAGCTGCAAACATGAAGAGCGGAGACAACGACAAGGACCCGAGCGACGATCGATACCCGGGTCTATTCTACTTCGTGTCGACGCAAGTACCGGCTGGTCCAGAGAAGGATGAAGGCTTTGAGGAGCCAGCAGCTGTGGGGAAGGTGACCCTACACCCCCTGGACTACTGGGTGATTGATAGTGGCGCTACCTATAGCATGACACCTCGCCCGGACTTGCTCACCGAACTCGAGCCGTCACCGGTGAAGCATGTCACATCGGCTTTGGGGCAGCGAGCAGAGGTGAAAGGCATGGGGAAGGCCATGTTCAAGGGTGCTGATGGGAAGATGGTGGGCCTCAAGAACGTGCTTTGGGTGCCCAGCCTTGCTGCAAACCTGATTTCCGTGCGGCGGTTGGCAAAGGCCGGCATGGACACTAACTCGAAGGGAGTCAAGACCTACACCGCAAGGCTTGGCGATCGAATTCTCTGGGACCTTCATGAGGACAGGGATGTCTACAACGAGATGTGGCAGATTCCAGTGGTCCCTATGCCTAAGGAGAGGCAAGTGGCAGCAAGCATCAGCACCAAGGATGGAGCGGTCGGTAGCGACGATGGCGCGAACGGTCGCGCTAAGGAGAATGAGCTCAAGAAGAGCAAACCTGGAGGGACCAGCAAGTTCAGTGAACCTAAGGAGAGTGGTGCAGCAGCCAAAAAGCAGCAAAAGGGTGAGGAGAACCCCGAGGCAGCAGCGGAGGAGGACTACGGAGAGAGTATGTGGGGCGCTATTGCGAGCGCGGCATTCTCCAATCCAACTTCGGCTACGGGGGAGTGTGATTGGCTCACCTTGCATCGGCGCATGGGGCATGTGGCCCTGCCCATCTTGCAGCAGCTAGTGAAGAATGAGATGGTTGCTGGCATACGTGTGAAGGGGGAGCCCGATGAGGTACTTGGCTGCCCGACGTGCATGCAAGCCAAGTTCACCCGTTACCCATTCTCTAGTTCGGAGGCAACGGCTAAGGCACCACTTGATGAGGTGGTGATGGACGTGGTGGGCCCCTTGAAGCTTGGAGCTGCTGGAGCTGAGTACTTCCTCACTATTGTTGACGTCTACACCCGTATGACTTGGGTGTACGTGCTGGCCAAGAAGAGCGACGTGGCTGAAACGTTGAAGGCGGATTGGTTCCCGATGGTGGAGCGGCAACAAGACCGTCTAGTCAAGTCAATCCGCACCGATCGAGGGGGAGAGTTCCTGAGCAAGGAGTTTGGGTTGTGGCTGAAGAAGAATGGTATTCGACACTCCCTCACCATGCCATACTCCCCTGCAATGAACGGCATCGCTGAGCGAGCGAACCGCACAATCACGGAGGCGGCACGCGGGTTGCTCATTGAAGCCGGGCTACCCGACTATTTCTGGCCTGATGCGGTGCGGAGCGCATGTGTGGCCAAGAACAGAGCCTTGACTCATGTGGGAGCAGACAAATGGGTGCCCTATGTGGAGTGGCTAGGAAGGAAGCCAAAGGTGGATATGCTTCGGGTGTTCGGGTGCATGTGCATGGCGCTTGTGCCTAAGCATCTTCGGCACAACAAGCTTGGTGCCAAGGCGGTGTGGGCCGTGCA